TTGCCCTTTCAACGAAAACGTTACCATACAGACCAGTTTCGCTGTGCCTTTGGATATAATGATTTCATGAGCACCTTTTTAATATCACTGCATATCCAATGAAAAGAGTTTTCTGGAGATGCCTTGCGTTCTATTGGAAACCTACTTCTTCAGTATCCGGACAGTCGACTCCTGGAACAGTGTACCTGCCGATGTTGTAGCAGTCGAAACTGTTAATGCTTTTAAGTCTAAGATAGGCACTTATTACTGGAAAGGGAAGGAGCCACACCCAACACAAACTCTCATCATAAACTCACTATATCTATATAATAATTTGGTTAATAAGCGGATTTTTTTCTAGGCAAAAGGTTCTTTTTTCGAACATTATGTGTGTATGTATGTATTTTTGGGCAATGAATAATCCAGCCCCCATAGTGACATTTATTCATATCTGCAATTTGCCACTATCCGCAAGAGGCCCTCACCGACAGCGGCTGACCGCAGTACTCGTGCCGTGAATTTCAAATCCTTTTGCTTTCAGGTGAGATCGATGAAAGGGAATTTATGATCGATCTAGTCACACGTTATTTTGGGCACAATGTTTTTCTAGACCGGGCTTTTTCAGTAATTGCGGAGCAATGCTACGCGTGCAATGTGTCGGAAGGGGGTGCGATGGAGCACAAAAAAAGTAGAGGGTCATGGAAACATGCAAATGGGGAGCTGATACGGAAAAACTAAGAGCGGTTTCAGGAAGAAAACGACACTTTTTTTGTCCCCAAAACGTTCTAGATACGTTTTACGGCGTGTCTGCGTGCTCCCAAATCCGTAGGATTCCGTACGGAGGTGGTAGTCATCACTTACGGTTCTATACATGCCGATGCCGTCCGCGTTTCCGTATGCTTCCGTGAATAATTTCATCAAGTTGGTAAGTCACTGAGTGAAGAGACTCTTTTTACACAACCAAGACTTTTATTCTGCCGACGTTTCAGTGACCGTCTGTCACCTTCCTCAGGGCAATGCTGACTGGTTCACATTGTACTGCAGCACAGGTGTCGCTGTTATAGATGCAGTCCCAAATGTACAATATATTTACATATCTAGACAGAGAGGGCAATATATGTACACGTTAGGAAGCTGTATGAATCAGGAAATCTGAATCACAACGGTCAGTAGTTATCAAATACTGGCGAAATATCAACGTTTCCTGGAAGAAACGTTCTTGGCCTTGGTCTTAATTTTAATTCTCAGGTCCGACACTAAGGCGCCAACATGATCTACCGGACCGTCTCCCTTCACTGCCTGGGTCGACTGGGATGGAGAAGCGGACTCGCTTCTTGGCCTTAGAGACGGAAGCCAGCTTGTGCTCCTGGTACCGGTTTTTGTGGGATTGTAGAACAACTTTTAGGAACGAAACAAACCGAACACTTTTTGATTGGAGGTTGAGTGCCTTTTTTTGGGTAGAACAAGGTATAGTACAACGCCGATGTGTATTTAGGCCACACCAAGTAAATTTTATGGATGACGTCCGCGCGCGCATTGATTTTGGCCTGTTCCTAGAAAAAAAAAAACAAGAAATTCCGCTTCCTGTAACTATGACCAAAGAGTCACGACAGCGCTTTGTCTCTGCAGGCCTGCAAAAATGTGATGAAAGAAACAGGACAGGACGACAACTGCTGTTCCACCTGATTTATTGCTGTTTTGATGATGAATAAAAGACTTCTTGCTTGTTACACTGTGTCACCTCATTCAATTTGTGTCCTAACATTAGTATATTTCTAATCTAGGCATCTTGTTTTTTAGGGCCCTTCTTGTTTTCTTTTCGCCCTCTCGCATTAGATTTAGGGTCTCCAAAGGACGTCATCCATAAAATTTACTTGGTGTGGCCTTATCGAGTTTGTAGCGATAAAAGTCGCTGCATTTCTAATATTAGTGGGTAGATGACGTTGTTATACCTGGCGGCGTCCAGCGGCGAGGTTCTGGCGCGTCTCCAGCGCGTCCACTGTCTTCGCCACCCGCGCTCTCCACGCCTCCAGACGCTTAATTACCTTCGCCAAGAAGGTTATGTTTTCGTTGGCGTTCGTGTGTCTCTCTCTCTCTCTCTCTCTCTGTGTGTGTGTGTGTGTGTGTGTGTGTGTGTATGAGCACGATAACTCAAGAAGGCTAAGATGGATTGTCTTGATATTTGGTAGGTGGGTAGGTCTTCATGAGACGTGGAACTGATTAGATTTTGGGCCCCCTAGTGGCTTGTTATGGTACTGCAGCTGAAGTTCCCGTTTTGATATCTCGTGATCTAGACATGCTGGGGTGACGAAATTTATATGGTAGGTAGCTCTTGTGCTGGGGAAGACATGAGTTTGGACCCCCTAGCGGCTTGCTCTGGAATTGCAGGGCTATGTGTTTGAAAATATTCAAAAGAGGATAACTGAAGAACCGGTTGACGGATCGTCATGATTTTTGGTATGTAGGTAACTTACGTGATGCTTGGTATAATTATGTGACAATATTATGCAAATATGGATGTGATTTGCAAAATTTATGAGGAAATTCTATAAATCAGCTGCATCCATAAAATGACTATTGAAGCTTGTGACATTGGTAATTGAGAACGAGAGGAACACATGTACAGGCAGATATTGATTATGTAAATGAACTTAATTTGCATAATTAATGAGAAAATTCTATACTTATGTAATGATAACTGCCTGGAATTTCGAATTCATACTTGTTACTGTTTATTTTGTTATCACGCTCTTGCAATTAGCCCTCGGGCATGAATTTATAATAAACTTCTTTCTTTCACATCCGGTTGGCTCATCAGATAACATTTCTGCACAAAAAATATTTGAAATATTTTATTAAAAAAATATATGTGTAACTGTACTTTACTTCCACTTTTCAAAACTTGTGCACTTATGTCGCATTTCTGACATCCGCAGTTGTTGGAGCCTAAAACAGCACATACATGAGGTGCCATGATGGTTTGTGGTGCCACCACAAACTACCATAATGTAAGCAAACATGGCTTTTAAACACACTCGTAAGGGGTCATATTTTGGCACCTTCACTTCCTGATGTACCAGCGAGTATATAGGCGTCACTAACTACCCGCCCAAGCTAAGGAATCCTTGATCTTTTGGGTGAATCGGTTTGTGAGCTGACACGCCGCGCGAGCGGTGCGGGTTCGATTCCCTGGGGTCAGAGTCAACCTTCGAGCTACTCAGAACTCCTTTCTCTGTGTTAAATTGATATAACGTTCTTCACGACACGCATTTGCAATGGAGTAGGGTTGGATCACCTTACTATTTAGAAATGTCTAGAAATGAGCAGAAAATTTATTTTTTTGTATTGTCCTAACTCCTAAGGCCATGTTGATTTGATTATATGGATGACTTCCACGCGCGCATGAATTTTCGGCCGTTTAAAAAAAAGTTTCAACCATACTGTAAATCGTACAAAACTGTTGCAAAATGAGCAAATATATACTGTAAGTTACAAATAACAAAATATTGGAAAACCATACCAATGTCGTAGAATACCAAAATCAAACGAAAAAGACGAAAATGTATTACAAAAAAAAATGAATTTGAAGAGTAGATTATCGCCATACCATACTCTTTGACATTTGTTCAACCTTCATGACCACGTAGATTTCATAATGAAAGCAACTTTTTTTGCCAAACTTTTTTTTTATTCGCACGCTCGCATCAGTTTTGGGGTTCTCAGAGGATGTCATCCATATAATCAAATCAACATGGCCTAATTGTAGTGCAAAGGCTGTGGAAGACGAAATACTAGTACACTTTATCGCAAAAAGTATCATAACGACGCTCGAAATTAATTGATTTTTCAAACTTGTACAATGACTTTGGAAAATAGTGGTCATAATACGTCTTCCATGGCCTACAAAAGAGATGCCAAACCCTTCAAACATAGTTTCAGACATAGCAATAGTTTTAGACAAGTACCTTTCATTATGTAGATTTTAGTTATTTCATACGCTGTTTCAATGTTCTTTTATGTTTGTGATTTGCAATTAGTCTTCGTGCACGAATTTGCAATAAACTTCATAAGGCCACAGCAAGTAATTTTTATGGATGACGTCAGCACGCGCATTACTAGGTTTCGCCTAATTTTGGAAAAAACAAAATTTGTTGCCTTCTGACAGTATTCAACATGCCGAAAATGGGCAAAGATGTCTGCTGCCATGCCGGAAGGCGGATACCAGATAACTATGAAGAGAGGAGATCTACAAGAAAGGCTCTGATTTAATGTTTTGTTTCTTATTTGCAACAATGATGCAGTGATGTATTTCATTCCCTTTGTATGTGATGCTGGCTGTGTATATGTGATGTTCCCACTGAATCAAAACCATGTGTACAATGATTGATTCAAAATCTTAAATTGTAGGAGCCTTGTTTTTTCGGCCCGCCTTGCTTTGTTTTCGCCTGCTCGCATTAGATTTGGAGTCTGCGGAGGATGTCATCCATAGAATTTACTTGCTGCGGCCTAATGCTCTAAATCACGCTCCCATAGGACGAAGAACTTTCCCTTTCTATCCAGGACTGACACAACGCGGCCACTTTCGATCCACCCAGCTTCTATACACGATCCTTTAGCTTTTAAACAAAAGCTGTTGTCCGTGGAAATAGGACCTGACCACGTGGAAAGTTGACGCAACACACTTCCGGGAAATCACTTCCCACAATGCACCACCCGCGCAGGCGCAGTACACCTCTGCGCGAGTAGTCCAATATCGTCGCCATGATGTCGGGGCCTGGCCAGGTTGTGCCGTATTTTTGTCTTACCCCTTTTCTCTTCCCCTTTCTCCTCTCTTTTTAGACAATAACGTGACAAATTCTTCTATTTTCCAGAATATGGAGGATGAATCCCGCCCGCGTACCCTGTAAGTACAAAGTTTTTGCTTACCGTTAGGTTTTGTTTCTTGAATTTTTTGATCTGGTACTTTCGAGTTGATGATATGCCGGTCTTTTTTCTGTTGGCACGCCGTCCACTCAAACCGGCTTTTCCCTCCCTCGTAACAACAGGTACGTGGGGAACCTCAGTCGTCAGGTCACAGAGCAGCTGATTTTGCAACTGTTCGGCGCGATCGGGCCGTGCAAGAGCTGCAAAATGATCTCCGAGGTGAGCGTAACATCGTCCATGTTGGTGTGTGTGTGTGTGACTACTGCCACCGAGTCAGTAGACCACCTTATCCAAGCACAAAAAAACTAAAGTGGAAATACGATTTCTCAACGGCGTTTTAAGTGTCTGAAGTGTCTAATTCTTGTATTTTCGCTGTCCCAGCACGCCGGGAATGATCCATATTGCTTCGTCGAATTCTACGATCACAACCACGCTTCGGCGGCGCTAACAGCAATGAATGGGAGGAAAATAATGCACAAGGTAAGAGGGCCACTTCCTGTCTGGGACTAGAACCCAGTTCCGGTTCATCTCAGCTCTGAACCACACAAAAAGTGCTCCCAGTGTTTGTCATTCATCCTGTTTACAAGTCCGTCTGTTCCCTATTTATTATCAAATCATTTATTAACACAACAAAAAGAACAGTGACTTTTGTATGGTCTTCTACAACTAAAGGTCTAACAAAGTTGAATACAACGTCATCCTACGTACAGAATATATGTATAATGTGGCAAATTACATACAGAATATATATAAGTGTAACAATAAAGGTTTGAGTATTCTCTAACATGTAGTCTCTAAGATTGAAACATTCTTTAATGTATAATATCAATCATGATTTTTATGAGTCTGCCCAGTAAGCACATATGTAAAATATATCAGACCATAAATTCACTAGTTTGTAATAATAGTTTGTATTAATTTATTACAAACGTTACTTAAGTAATATACTTACCATATGTGTGAAAATGCTACAAAAGATCTTCTTTGAAAACAACCAAAGTACACACTTTCCTCTTGCTTTACAATATTTCTAATATAAACCATAAATCCATGGTTTGTAATAAATTAAAAGGGAAAATTATAGGGAAGTGTGTACTTTGGTTGTTTTCAAAGAAGATCTTTTGTAGCATTTTCATTTTTCACACATGTGGTAAGTATATAATATATTTACTAAGTAACGTTCTATAATGACTAGGCATTGTCACATGCCTGCCCCCCTCCCCCTGGCCAAAACTTGATGCATACTAAATTACAAAGCAACAACATGCTGAAATATTATTATGCGAATGCCGTGCAAAACAATAACAGTAATATTTGTTATTGTCCATCTCTAGAATGTAAACTTGATAAAAACTGCAGCATTCAAAAAATGTATGATTCGCATAATGATATTAATAAGCCATGTGTAACCTGCAAATTATGTTACAGGGTTTATAAACTTGCATTTCTCCTCTGGTCTCTCAGTCACTGACGAAAGCTAGTGGATACTAGCTGAAACGTCTGACCGTTTCCAAAATCATATCCAGTTGCTTGAGCAACTGCTTTTTGGCGTGTGGTACAGTCTACCTTTTTGCTCTGATGTGGCAAGATCACCAACCTGACCCAATGACAATATTATCAATACAATAACATAGTACATGTACTACTTTCACTACATTGTAATCCTTGAATTGTAATTTTCAAGAAGCAACTAACCCAGCAGATTACCTGATACCTATCTGCTCTTGGTCAACAAACAAGTGAAATCACTCTGAAAGATAGTGATGATTAGGCATTTAAGAAGTAACTTGAGATGAAACGATTGTTTGAAAGCCATTGTGCTTACACAGAGCTGATACAGCATGTTGGCAGAACGTACTGCGCCTGCGCAGAAGTTGAACCCTGTATTTTCGCGTTTTTCGTTGGTTTTTTTGTCAACGTTGCATCAGAATTTTGCCTGTTGCAGAGGATATTCTTTCCTACATAACATTTGTAAACTACTGTCGAAATGCTAACCTTATATGAGCGAATACAACAATGAGACATTCTGCCGAAATGCTATGTACAATACATTACGGGTTTCATGCAGGTGCAGTACGTTCTGCCGACGTGCTAGCTGATACAACAACAAAGAAATACAGGGAAAGAGTTAAAATATCACACTACCATTGGTATCCTGAGCGTACTTAGTACTGTAATTCCTGATTTTTTTCACGGTACTGTTATGTTCACCATTTTCACTGTCGCTTCTGTACCTTGAACTTATCATTACAGGTAACAAGTAATTCCTAGACTTTCTCTTTCCTGCACTTGTCGCCACCGTGAATATATAGTTCCGTGAACATGTCCATTTTTCTCAGACCTTGAACTTTTGCTACCGTGAACATAAAGTGAATTACAGTATTAAAGCCTGTTTTTTTTTTTTGCTAGAAAATTTTTGCAACCGTAGTTTGGGAATATTGTGTTCAATCATGGCTCCTAAATCTCTGTATTATGTATCCATTATAATTACAATTTTAGTCAGTCAGTCTTCTATAACTGTATACTGCAATTCCTGATTTTTTCACGGTACTGTCATGTTCACCGTTTTCACTGTCACTTATGTACCGTGAACTTATCATTACAGTTAACAAATAATTCCTAGACTTTCTCTTTCCTGCACCTGTCGCCACCGTGAATATATAGTTCCGTGAACACGTCCATTTTTCTCAGACCATGAACTTTTGCTACCGTGAACATAAATTGAATTACAGTATTAGAGTGTGGTCTTCTTTTTTTTGCTAGAAAATTTTTGCAACCGCAGTCTGGGAATATTGTGTTCAATCATGGCTCCTAAATCTCTGTATTATGTAGCCATTATAATTACAATTTTAGTCAGTCAGTCTTGTATAACTGTATAACATGCAAGCACTGAATCAGTAGTTAACCCCAGTCAGCCCAAAGACAATAATAAACTTTATTTGCAAAATCATGCCCGAAGGCTAATTGCTTTTACAATCAAGTATAATACTCATTGCAATACAGTAACAGGAGACAGGTAACAACTGTCTGGAAAAAAACTTCTACTTCTACTACTACGCTAGCTATTATGGGGTTCGACTTCTTCTTTGAAGGCAGTGGATAATGAATAGTCCCACATTCTGCATAAATTAGTGGGTTTTGTGATCTTAGTAGAAATGCAGTTTTTTGGTGATCTTCTAAATGACGAAATGATGGAGAAATTGTTGTAACTGTCTGAAATAATCTGTATAATAATAGCGAATAGGCACCAGCAGGTATTGAATATGGTCATGGTGGAATGTATTGTGAAGGAGGTGTGAAGCAAGGCCCCTTTGTCCTGCTTACATGTCATGTAAATGTAGACTGGAATGGAAAAAAAAGGTTATGAGCAAGAATTCAGCATCAAACATGCTGTAGTATTACAGGGCTGGAAATACTGGGTGCATGTGCACCTTAGTGCACCCAAATTTGGAGCTGTGCACCCAATTTTTTCTATGGGTGCACCAGTGCACTCAAATATTTTCATAGGTTTAGGTATGTAAAGATGTTAAATGTATTGTAGTATACAGCATATTCTTAACATCCATGTGTCAGACAAAGAATAAAATCATTGTTGTAGTACTTTTTGTTACAAATGAAATATAATTAGTTTTTGCTGACATTCTAGTTATTTTATTTCATATGGTGCACCCAAAAAAGTTGTGCACCTATTTCTAAAAATGAATTTCGAGCACTGTATTACAATATGTGGAATGTAAGCAGGTCAGTGGTGTTATATGGATTTGATGCGTGTAAGTACTATGAGAATAACTTGTAGTAGTACTGTACTTCTGAGGCTGGTAGAAACACACTTGTTGCTTTGTCGCCAAGCTTCAAGCATATCAGTTCAGAGACTAATTTATATTCAAGTTACACAGTTCTCAGTCTCAGTCACTGCTAAGTACATGTACATGCTATCTGTCTGAAACATATGTTTATTGGAGACTTTACCCAGTTGCTTGATTCTAGCATGTACAGGTCTCGAAATTAAAGGTGGTCCAATGGCCACTGACCACTAAAATTTAGGCTGGTACAACTAAAATGATACTAGGGGACTTTTTTGGGGCAATAGAAAAATAACATCAGAATGTCAGCCCTTTTGTTTATCAGGCACACGTTCTGGCTTTTGACTTTGACTTTATTGGGATCCACATTTAGCTTACAACATTTTGGATCTAGAAAATTCTCCCCTGAATTTCCTGTCTACTCTGCAATTATAGTGCACCTGGGAGTGACTTCAAGTTGAAGTCATACAATACTTCCCAAAAAACAGGTTGGGACAGTTCATCCTCACTTCGGGACAATTGAAATTTATTTTTGGGACAGGGCTGGGACAATAGGAAGAAAAATTAATTTTGAGGCCTGTTGTAGTCTTTTGCCTGGATGCCTAACCTTCATTTAATTGTCATTCACCTAGCTTTTGTGTAAAGAATAATAAAACCAAAATACAGTAAATAAAAGAAAAGGTACAGTTCTTGTGGCTGAAAAAGGGGAGTCAGGTACAGGGTTTCCAGTGTTACACTCTCAGGCCTAGGAAAAAAATGCTGTTTCCTGTTTCCTGACTGACCCTAGATAAAGGTGCCGACCCTAGCCTTTTTTTTGGTGGACCCCTGCAAGGGACATAAATATTTCAAGCTGATGAACCTTTTCTAGCTCCATGATCTGACACCTGAGTGATGAAACATTGTTCAATCAGTTTTCCAACATTGACATTGATCACGAAAGTGTCCTCATGCAAGTTTTGCTTTGTTAAACTGTATATAATTGTATAAGTTGGATCACATGTAGTATCACCAGAGATTGCCAAAGTCTAATAAAAAAGAAGAAATAAAAGAAAAGATATTCTCTACCTACCGACCCCAATTTTTTCAAGACTGAAACAGGAAACACAGCATTTTTTTTCCAGGCCTCAGTCACTTTGACCTGTTAGGCCATGTTGATTTGATTATATAGATGACAGCCGCACGCGCATGAATTTTCGGCCGTTTCAAAAAAAAAAGTTTTCAACCATACTGTAAATCGTACAAAACAGTTGCAAAATGAGCAAAAATAAAGCGTAAGTTACAAAAAAAACCATACCAATGTCGTAGAATGCCAAAATCAACCGAAAAAAGACGAAATTGTAAAGAAATGAACTTGAAGACTAGATTATTCGCCAAACCATATTCTGTCCCATTTGTTCAACCCTCATGACCACGTAGATTTCATAATGAAAACAACTTTTTTTTTTTGCAAAACTTTTTTTTTATTCGCACGCGCGCATCAATTTTGGGGTTTCCGGAGGATGTCATCCATATAATCAAATCAACATGGCCTTACCAGGAGAGATGGGGGCTTTGTGCTAACCCTTTTTTAAACCTTCAGTAATGCATTTTTCCGCATTTTCAGGGGCAAAGTTAAGTAAGAATGGTTCTCCATCCCTTCTTGTACCTTTGTCACTGCAGGGTTCTATGTAGGATTTT